TTCTTGATGACGAGTCCGAACTCGTTGTCATCATCGCTTGAGTCATCTTCCACGGTCTCCTTGGTTGCTTTCAGTGCTATTCCCTTCTTCTTTTGTTCATCCAAAGACGGGGTTAGAATAGTGGATTCATAAGTTTTGAGGTTACCTCTTAGCCCGTCGATGGTGACATTGGAGACTCCGATGGATTCGTAGATTGCGTCAGCCTTTGATCTCCATTCGGGTGTGAGGCTCCGCAGGATTTTCCTCACGAGATCCTTGGTGGTGTACGTCTTCTTGAGAGCGTGAAGGTCGTTGATGATTTTTGAGAACCGATCGAACATGTCATCGATCTTTTCGCCTTCCTTCATCCTGAACATCTCGTACTCCTGCGTTAGGAAGTCAATTTTGGCTTCCCGAACTTGGTCCGTACCTTCATATGTGACCTCCAGCTTGTCCCACATTTCTTTGGCAGTGGTGCAGCAAGAGATCTTGCGATAATCATCTAGGTTGACCGCGCAGTACAACATGTTGATTGCCTTGGCGTAGTTCTCCACCTTTTTGATGTCTTCGGCATCAAATTCGTCCTCGGTCTTTGGGACGAGTTTTTCATCGACCTTCTTCATCGGAGTTTCCTCGCCATTCTTGATGACCAACCACAACTCAAAGTTGGTTTAGCGAATATAAATTCTCATCCGCTCTTTCCGATATGTGTAGTTGGTGCCATCAAAGAGCGGCGGCCTAGAGGTTGATTGACCTTCTCCAATTCCTGCATAAAGATTTCTAGAAGAAGAACCCATGATTGCTTTACTCTCAAATGGTTAAGTTTGGACGCGAGTTAGGCTTTGATACCAATTGTTAGAATAATAGACCAACGCTAGAGGAGGGGTGAATAGCGTTTGATCGGAGAAATCGCAGGAATTAAAAAATTAAGAGAGAAGTAAAGAGAAGAGTAAAAGGCACACCGAATTTTACCCTGGTTCACCACAACTTGTGGCTAATTCAGCCTCCCGAGAGACTCTCTCGAGCTACACTACTAACTTGTTAAGCTTACGGGTGCTTAACAAACCGTTACAACTTGAGAGTTCGAGTCACACGAACCTCAACGAATCCTTCAAAGGAAACAAACCTTCCTTTGAATCAACCGAGAGAGATACTATCTCTCAACGTGTCTAAGAACACAAGTACACTCAAGAACGAGACTCTCTTATAGAGTAGATTATGAGTGAACTAAGTACGCTCAAGAACAACTCAACCTTCACACAAAAATGGCTCTAGAAAGCTATGGAAAATGATGATGTTTGAATGCAATGAAAGTATAGATGTTGTGAAGTGAATTGGTGAGAAAAGCAGACCCAAACACCACTTTTTATAGTGCCAAAGAAGGCTCCAACGGACCAATGCATTAAAGGGGTGATTGGCTTGATTTATGGGATTGAAAAGATTTGGGATCTGCAGAATATTGGCTTCCCATCGATGTTTAGACTCAACCATCGCTGGTAAGCCAATTTTTCTTCAGTTTTGAAGTCAACGGTCACCTACCCATCGATGGGTACAAGCTTCCCATCGCTGGGTGGGAGGTTGACTTCCAAACAAGGAAAGAATCAACCTTTAATGACCACCAACGGTCANAGCGAAAGATGGTTTTCAAGGTGTTTTTGTTGGAGAACCGTTTAAACATGCCAAATAGTGAAAACCAATCATAAAAAGTTGAAAACCACTTGGTTGGTTTGGATGCCAAAAACCATAGCCGATAACTGAGAGCCGAACGCCGGTTTCTGAAAACCCGAACGCTGGATGGCTTGGTTTTTGGTTTGGGCGAACACCAAGTGTTTTTAATGACTTAAACATGTTTGAAAAACATTTTTATGATTTAAGAAATGCAATGAAGGATTTTAGCCTAAAGAGCCAAGGTGTAAAGATTGGGTCGGTCTTGATCACAATGAAGACCGACTCAACGACACTAAGACTAAGGTCTTCGTTCTTGGTCTTCTTTTAGCTCTTGTTCTTGTCTTCCTTCTTCGCCTTGAATATTCAAAGTTTGACTTGATCACGGCGGTTTGACATTATCAAAACCTGTCATAAAAACAAACACGGCTTTAGTACGAAAACGTGACAAGTCCGTGTTTCAACAATAAGACTTTAGATTACTCTGTTTTGATCGGTTTTGTGGCCTCAGTTTCTGAACGCAGTTTCGTAGGCTTGTTTGAATTTCATTCTGGCTCCTTAGCTCGACCTTTCGGTATTGGTACTTTGGAAGAGCACTTGACTTGGGATACTCAATCCTCTTCTTGCAAGCTCAAGCATTCAGAGCTTTGAGAGATGAGAACAAGTCGATAACACTGGTTTGGTGCTGCATTTTAAGTTTCTCAGGTCAATAAGAGTGGGTAGGTCATAGGTATTATGATAGGGTTCTTTTACAGCACTGGTTTTTGCATTCAATGGACAGGAGGCATGTTTGTTTGCTGGCAGTTCAGCCACAGGACCACAGATCTCAAAGCCAGCATCCTGGTGGACGGACTCAGTTAGAAGCATGTGACTTGGAGGCCTCCAGCTTTATAGCAGTTTTTAAGTGGCCCATTTCAAAAGTACTATATGTTGGATATTTGTGTTCATCCGTTTCCTTTATGGAACACTTCTATTGTACTATTTGTTGTATTGTGCATTTGGCTTTCTGTCTGGCTGCTTTGTAGGGGCTTGGCCACCCCACTTATGTACTTTTACTTTTTATGAATAATATATATATATATATATACATATATATATATATATATATATATATATATATATACATATACATATATATATATATATATATATATATATATATATATATATATGATTTTTAAAAGTTAGTTATGCAGTTGTGATTAGCCACACATATTTATGTGCATATTGTATTTTTATTTTATGTGTGGCAAAATTTTCCCCACATTCCCCGCTGCCACGCTTAGCACATGTGTGGCAAACACTCTTTCCCGCACTTATATGTGTTGCGAATAGCAAGTTTAAGTGTGGCAAAAGCCGCATTTTTTTGTAATGGGGTGATAACCCTGCCGGTCGAGGTAGGAGATACTAAGGCCACCCGGAAATTGGACATGGAGTTCGTTGTAGTGGGAATAATCTCCAATACTAATGTCATTCTGGGAAGACCTGGATGAGAAGATTTGGAGTGTGTCATCTCACCTCGTCACCTGTGCATAAAGTTCCCAACCCCCCATGGGATTGGAATTGCCAGGGGATCTCAGAGGGTGTCCCAGGCGTGGTATTTGAAGGCAACTAAAAAACCTATCAGATACGACACCCAGGTGGGGGAGGTAACCGCACAGTTCTTAAGAGCCGAAGAAAGACGTCCCAGGGTTGAAGTTGCAGGCGACATAGAGGAAGTAGAACTGGAGCCACGCATGCCGGGAAGGTTGGTTAGAATTGGAAGAGGCCTGGGGGCTGAACTCAGGTCACGAGTAATTTCTGTTCTCAGGAGATTCAGAAAGGTCTTTGCATGGAGTCCAGCTGATATGCCGGGGCTGGATCACAAGATTGCAGTTCATCGTCTCAATGTTTTGCAGGATGCTAAACCGGTGAAGCAGAAGCGGAGGCATTTGTCGCAAGAAAGGAGAGACTTCGTGAAGAAGGAGGTGACAACCTTGCAGAGTATTGGACACATTCGGGAGGTGCATTACCCGGATTGGTTGGCAAATGTAGTCTTGGCGCCTAAGCCTCCTTCGTGGAGAATGTGCGTCGATTACACGGACTTGAACAAAGCATGTCCGATGGATCCGATTCCTCTCCCCAATATTGACGAGATGGTGGATGAGACTGCTGGATCAGAGTTGATGAGTTTCATGGACGCCTTCAGTGGCTACCATCAGATTCTAATGCACTCGGCCGACGTTGAAAAGACAAGTTTCATGACTCCTGAGGGCCTGTACTGTTATTTAATGATGGCATTCAGACTGAGAAATTATGGGGCGACATACACCCGGATGGTTTCTCAGGTGTTCAAAGCCGTCTTGAGGCGAACCATGGAAGCTTATGTTGATGACATGATTGTCAAGTCCAGAGAGGCCCGAGACCACGTCCGGGACCTTGAGGAGGTCTTTGAAATCATGATGAAGGTAAACTTAAGATTGAACCCTAAGAAGTGGACTTTTGCTGTTCAGGGTGGAAAATTCCTAGGGCACATGGTTAGCCGAAGAGGGATTGAGGCTAACTCAGAGAAGGTAAGAGCCATCATGGAGATGGAACCGCCGAAGATAGCAAAAGAGGTCCAGCGGTTGACGGGGAGATTGGCGGCTTTGAATCATTTCCTTTCGAAGTTGGCAGAAAAGGCGCACCCGTTCTTTACTGTACTCAAGAAGAGGACAACCTTTGAGTGGACGCAAGAATGTCAATTGGCATTCGAAGAATTGAAGAGGTATCTGGCGAGTCCTCCAGTTTTATCCAAGCCGGAACCCGGGGATGTCCTGACGTTATACTTAGCAATTGCAGACTGTGCCATCAGTACAGTGATTGTAAGAGAAGAGAACGGGGCCCAGCATCCGGTCTACTATGTCAGTAAGACCTTGAGAGATGCGGAGCTGAGGTATTCCCGCCCAGAAAAGGCCATGTTAGCGGTCTTTTGGACGGCGAAGAGATTAACCCCGTACTTTCAAGCTCACCGGATCGTGGTACTCACCAATGAGTCCTTGGCGTCACTTACTCGAAGCCCAGCGGAATCTGCCCGTATGACCAAGTGGGCGGTCTTCATTAGTCAGTACAATGTGGAGTTCAGGCCGCATCCATCGATCAAAGGGCAGGCACTCGCCGACTTTCAGGTTGAGTGTACGGCCAGGGAGATGACAAGAGCCCGGGTTGAAACCTGGGTAGAAGATGACTGGTGGGTGATGAGCATTGACGGATCTTCCGGGTCCCGATCCTGTGGAGTAGGTATTGTCATGATCACTCCGGAAAGTTTCCAGATATATTATGCTATCAGATTTCAGTTCCGCGTGTCCAACAATGAAGCCGAATATGACGCCCTAATTAATGGACTAAAGATTCTCGGCAAGCTGGGGGTGTCCAGGGTCCAGGTATACAGCGACTCCCGCTTGGTTGTGGGACAAATTAGTGGGGAGTTCGAAGCAAAGGAGGAGAGGATGAAGAAATATCGAAACTTGTCCTTGGAAGTGTTGGGAAAATTCGAGTATAAGCTAGAGCACATACCCAGGGCGTACAACGCGGAAGCTGATGTCTTATCCAAGCTTAGCGCTGAATCGCCGGAGTATAAAAGCAAGTTAGCAACTGTGGAGGAGTTGGCAACCCCCAGTCTCAATAGGGATGAAGTGCTTTGGGTATCACCCGACCCCCCGGAATGGTTAGATAGGCTGGCTAGATACATTGAGGACGGCGTAGCCCCGGAAGATCCCCAAGAAGCCCGGTTGCTGCGAATGAGAGCACCCACCTACAAAGTGCAGGAGGGAGTCCTTTATAAACGGTCCTACAACGGTGTTTTACTCCGCTGTCTTAGGGCGGCAGAAGCAAAAGCACTTATGGAAGAGATACATGAAGGAGTATGTGCGGCACATCAGGGCCCATACTCTATCTCCAGAAGGGCGATAATCCAAGGATATTTCTGGCCAACAATGAGGAAAGATTGTGAGGAGTATGTGCGCAAGTGTCCAACTTGTCAACAGTTTCAGAACATACCCGGGAGGCCAGCCACAAATTACACGCCCATTAGTTTGGTAATCCCTTTCTCCAGGTGGGGGATTGATATCGTGGGTGCCCTGCCGAAAAGGAATTGGACAGGCAAGATGGATAGTGGTGGCCATAGATTATTTTACCAAATGGGTAGAGGCTGAGCCGCTTGCTGGGATCACAGGGAAGCAGATGATCGATTTCGTGGGAACCAATATACTTTGTAGGTTTGGGGTCTCGAAGCAGATCATATCCAACAACGGAACTCAGTTTGAAGAAGCGGAATTCCAAGACTTCCTCAAAACCTGGGGAATTCAGCATACGAAGGTATCCGTAGCCTATCCCCTGGCTAATGGTCAGGTGGAGAACATCAACAGGACGATCATAAGTGGGATAAAAAAGAAGTTGCTGTCGGAAGGAAGCAACTGGGTGGATGAACTACCCAGAGTCCTATGGACATACAGGACCACTCCAAGAAGGGCCACGGGTGATACTCCTTTTGGCTTGGCCTATGGGTTTGAAGCCCGGGCACCAGCTGAAAATGTAATCCCAACCAGGAGGGAAATGACATATGACCCGGAAGTGAACGAACAGAATCAGGCCGTTGAGCTTAATTTCTTAGAGGAAAGAAGAGATGAAGCGCGAATCCGGGTAGAGAATTACCGTCGTCAGGTGAAATCTTACTTTGATAGTAGGGGGAAACCGAGGGTGTTCCAGGTGGGGGATTACATCCTAAGAAAACGAGAAAAGAGTCAACCAACTAAGGGCGGAAATTTGGCCAAAAAGTATGAAGGACCTTATATCATCAAGGCCGTTGTTCGCCCAGGTACCTACAAGTTGATGACTCCAAAGGGAAAAGAAATAGATATGACATGGAATGTAGAGCACTTGGTAAAATTTTATCAGTAAAATTGTCTTGTAACTGATGCACTCTATTTTTTCGTTTAAGGCATTCTCATTTGTTTCAACAATAAAAAATTTCTTTCCTCTAAAGCCAAGTGTCTTTGCATTTCCATTGTTCTGTAAATTTCTTAAAAAAACAGGGAGGGGGGGGGGAGACCATCCCCGGGCAAGATAGACCCACATTATAGGGAGGTAGAAAAGTTTATGCCACCTACTAAAGATAGGGGAGGTAGATAAGTTTATGCCCCCCAGAGGTAGATAAGTTTATGCCTCCGTGAAATATGAAGGAAGGGTTGGGATCGGACTTCGAGGGCCTTTACAACCCGGAATTCAGGAAAAACAGCAAACAGACTTCGAGGGCTGGAGCTTAGTATTCCACCAGCACGGATCAACCGAGCAAACAAACTTCGAGGGTTGGCGCTCAATTGATCCAAGGTAGATAAGATTACGCCTTAACCCGGAGGAACAGAGGTCAGGGGCAGATGAGGTAAGCTCCCACGACCCATCCAAACCCCGGGAGATGAGATTTTATACAAGGTAAAAGCATTTGTACTTGCATTTGATGATGTGCAAAGAAATAAACACAAGGAGCTATATTTATGGGTCAAAGGCTCCATCTTTGGTTCACAATAATGGTTCCCAATGAGATGAAAGAAACAAGGAAATAAGGAAGTTCATCGATTGCTAATTCGAGGGTTATATCTTTGAATTACAACGATTATTCCTAATCTGAAGTTAAAGGACATTCCTTGGCACAGGACGCGGGGTAACTCCCGAACCAAACAAGAGAATGTCTCTTGAGATAAACAAGAAAAGAAAAAACTGATCTGCAGGGGGCTAGACGCAGAAGGAGGGCCAATTGCATCCATGCAGTCAGCTAGAAGAAGGAGGGGGCCCTCTCCACGGGCTCCTTCTCTCTGACGGAGGATACGCGGCGGAATCGTCAGCCTCGCCCATGTCATAGTCTTCCCACGTCCCAGGTCGGGGTGCACGTGGTGCAGATGGTGAACCGTCACTGGGAGACCTTGGCAAGTTTGGAGAAGCTGTCCGGCTTTCACGCGAAGCCTCTGTGCTTTAGAAAGAACGCCCAAGTTTAGCCCTGCGCATCCTCTGGTACAAGGCGAAGTCTTGTAGGGTCATGGAGTCCCAGTCTATCCTCCCGGACAGGAGCCTGGGTGGACTAGGAGGTGAAGGTGCAGGGAGACAGGGTGGTGGATAGAGTCTTGAGAATTCGCCGGGACTCAGCCCAGCCATTTCATTGGACTGAGCAGGAGAGGCAGGAAGATCGTCATCTGAAGATGAAGAGGTTCCAGAAAGGATTAGGTCAATGAAAACCTTACCCTGGGCTTTGTGTGTCATGCTGAAGAGATCCGAAAAGAATGAGCCAGCAAAAAACCATCTTTCCCCATTTATAGTAAAGGGGGAGGGATCGTTGGGAAGCAACGAATATGGTTAAAAGGTGCGAAAGACTTGGTGATTGGCGGATGAAGCGGTTTTGGGTTCCCGAGGTTTGACTAGGGCTTCGCCACTTAAGTGCATGGGCCAGCCCAGGTGGGCCCATCTGTACTCTGGGAAAGAACGTCGTCCTTGAATGGTAAGAGTTAAACAGACATAGACTTCTACTTCATGCAGACGATGGCACACAAAGTATGGTTATAATAACTGAAAGGAGATAAATGTTTTCATTAGATAACTCATAAAGAGAATTACTGTTGGGGACTTGTCGTGTGGTCCAAAACAAATTAAAAATTTATAAAATATCCTTAACTAACCCCCAAAATATAATCAAATAAAAACTATAGCTAGGGCAAGTAAGGGTCGATCCCACGGAGAAAGTTTGTACTTTTTAAAACCAATTTAGCATGCAAACACATTGTCACTAAAAAAATAAAATTAACTACTACACACATAATAAAACTTATAACTAAATAAATATAAAAACTTATAAATATAACTTATATAAACAAAGAACTTATAATATAACTTATTAAAAAACTTATATAAATATAAACAAAAGGGGGGGGGGGGTTGAATGAAAAGTAAATATTTTTGGTTTTTATGTACTTTCTTATTTTTTTTGGTTTTTTGATAAAATGGGGGAAAAACAAGCTCAAAAGATAATCAACTTCTCCAACTAAGGTAACCCAAGAAACACCGCCAAGAACCCAAAACAAAATGAAAAGAGAACAAACGCGAGTTGAACATTACACGTATAATAGGCACGTAGACAATATATTACGTAACTTACGCACTTAAGAATAGGAAAAACAATCAAAGACCGAGTCGATTCATTTCCTTAACCACGATATGGAGGATTGTCAACTCTCCACACGGCCCGGAGTCATGCAATTCAAAGGCCCATTTTGAAATATACCTTAAAACCCCAACTCACCAATCAAGCATGAAAACATACTTCCACTATAGAAAAAGTTTATAAAAGAGCGAATTTTTTTTCATTCTAACTCTCATGCATAATATATATTCACAAACCGCCAATACCTTATGCATTTTAATAAACCTTTTCTCCTAATGATGAGCACATTTCACAGATTTCCATGAACTTCTCAAACCAATGACATTTTTTTCTTTTCACATAGAAGAACACAACGTATTTTCAATAGATCAAGAATTGTTTATTGCACTTAAACAATCTCAATTTAAAGAAAATGAAAAACAAACACAACATAACAAAATCACTTTATAACGAATTCTAAGGAAAATGAATCAACTTATGGGGCTAAGAAGTCCAAATTCCTTAAAATCAACGAACACAAGCACAACAAGGAAACACGTATGAATTCGGAGTTTATTTAACTATTTTATGGAGCTAAAATAGCTTCAACAAAAACTGAATTCCACATACCAACCTACTTATGAGTTTGAAACAATTCAATCAATTTAACAACAACTTGTGCAATAATTGAAGTAAATAAGAAAGAATCAATTCTCATTCATAAGGGAATATATATAAACATTAAAGAAAATACCCATAAAAGAACACCAACCATTTTGGAATTTATGAAATTAAACAAATAAACAAAAATGTAAAAATTAAAATAAAAACAACACTTTACAAAGAATTGGAGAACAAAATTGGAGAAACAAGCTAGGGTTACCACTTTGCTGAAGAAGATGAAGAAATTAAAGGATTGGAGCTTGAAAAAAGGTTGCTGCCCACCATCAACGTCCGCCGGCGAGCAGTGGTCCGCCGCCGTCTGCTTCCTCCTCTGGTGCGCGGCTCAATTTCAGTTGCCACGGCCTAGAGCCGCGGCTCTCTGCGTGATATTTCCCCCCTCAATTGCTGGAATTGATCTTCAATTTATAGAATAGTAGGAGCAAGGAGCCTTTAATTTCTTCCCGTTGAGAATTGATTGTTGCGAATCGAACGGAAGAACGTTGGAGGAGACGTTAGAGATTTGGTCCTCAGCCTTGGGCTTTATCTTCGTCGTTGTCGTTCTCCAGCGCAATGTAGGAGTAGGCTTATCTCTTTTTTTCTTTCGTTGCTGGAGACAAAATAAAATGGATGAAAGTGGGCTGATTTCTTTTGGTGGTGGGTTTGGGTTGCGGCCCAAAATCTTTCTCTTCTTTCCAAACTTGAACTGCACTTTTGCCTTTTTGTTACATTTTTCTCCAAAAAATAAGAAATCTGATAACTTGGGTTAGGAAAAATAAAATAAAAATAAAAGAATGTAAAAAATGATTAAAAAGCTACTATTTTTGAAAGAAAATTAAAAGATTATAAAAATAGAAATTAAAATAAAACTAAGCTAAACAACTAAAAATTAAACTCCAAAAATATTAAAAATGGCTAAAATTGAATAAAAAGTACCAAATCAAACCCAAGTTATCAATTACATTCTTTTGGGTTACAACAATGAACCTTATCCCTGATCTAACGATGAAAACGCTAAAAGACGGGAGACAGAGTTTTTCATTAGATAACTCAAATAGAAAATTACATTCTTTTGGGTTACAACAATGAACTTTGTCCCTGATCTACTTCTACCCTACTACTAAAAAAATATGAAGGCTAGTCCAAACGGCACTTCAATGATCCGTAGGGAATAGTGCGGCAAGCGGAATGAATCCGCTGTCCCTTGCTACCCCGCCTGGTGATAAGTCTGTTTCGTTCTTATCATTTACATCATATTCTAAACGTTATTGCACGTAAATAGTATTTAATCATCTTATAAAATGTGATTTCAATGAATAAAACTCTCATTTTCGTTCTTAGAGTCATAAAATGGGATTCCACATGAAATTATCATAAATCATCCCTTTTATGTTCAAATACTTGAGAAAAAGGGAATAACTCATCAAGGGATCAAGATTCGGGCTTGAACGAGCTTCCGCGAGGTCAAAAACAGTGTTCGGGGCCAAAACAGAGCGAAATTGGGCCAAAATCACAAACCAGCCGTGAAGTCCAACAAGAGAAGGGCCTAAGGCGTCCAACTTAGACGCTTGGCCAAGTTGGACGCTTGGGAGTTGGACGCTTTGGCTTAATTGCAGCCCAAAAATGACACGTGGCAAAATCTGGTTGGCCGGGACAGCTTAGGCGTCCAGATCTGGACGCTTGGACTTGGACGCTTTGACTTGGACGCCTTGGCTCCGTTCCTATAAATACAGCGCGATCTCTCTCATTTTTATCATCCCATTCCATCCCAATTTCGGGATTTACACATCCCGTCTCCATTTTAGCTTGTATATTAGTTTTAGTAGCTAGTTTGAAGTATTTTCGGAGGTTTTGACTCCATATCTGTTCTGTTCCGCTTTTACGGAGGTTGTAAGTTTTCTTTATTTAATAAAATGCTATTTTAATTTATGTTTGCATAGTATGAGTTAGGATCCGGATCTCTGGGTCCGGACTAGTTTGGTTGTTTATTTTTTGATGTTAAATTAATGTTGGAATGGTTAATCTATTGTTCTTGCCTTATTTAGTCAATTATTCTCGAAAGATTTAATTAGCTATTTATTGAGAAGATTTTGTATGCCAAAATGGCTATGATATTCAAGTGCAACAGATTAAGTATAAATCTAGAAATGGATGAGTAGTAATAGAAATATCATTATTCCAATTGTTAATTTAATATGATAAAATAGATCCAGATGATGTCCTGACCCTAGGTCCAGATCTACACTTATACTATGTAGACTTGATTTATTATTTTTACTCTGCTCCCTTTTTATTCGTTTCGAGAAGACTTTCATAAACCAATCCTAATCTTTGCCTAATTAGAGTAATTAAACTAATTCCCTTCATCCACTCCTCGAGAGATACGACACTCGGAGAGAAAACTAACCCTTTGTTGGGAAGGTTTACTACCTGAAAAACTACTACTGTCAAATGGCGCCGTTGCCGGGGAGTGGCACGGCATTAGTTTAATTTCTTCTCATTAGCTTGGGTGAAGATTGGTTAGAACGATCTTCTCACTTCTTTTTCACCAACCACCCGTAATAATTATTATGGATAACTCCAGTGGTTATTACGGTCCGCCTTCTTTCTACCAATCCCCCAACCGCCCTCCTTTTCAAACCCATCCACCTTACCACCCACATCAGAACCCAAATGATGATGACTACCAAGTCAACAATGGGTCTAACTACTATCCCTACCATGAGGAACCACCATATGATACCCCGTCTAGAAACTTTGGATATCCTCCATACCAAGATTCTGATGGGGATAACTATTATAAACCTCATGGTGACCAAGATGACTATGACCAATTTGGGGCTATGTGCGACGATCAATCTGATCCACTCGTCGAAGAAATAATAAGATTAGAACAGAAAATCTTCTATCTGGATGAAGTTTTATTCGCTGAAGGCTTCTGGTACGAACCACCCTACTCTCGTGACTATACCCTGTTTGCTGAAGAACAAATTGAAGCAATCAAGGTGGCAATTCGAGAAAGAGCAAAACTTCTCGAATCAGTCCGGAAGGAAAAGGAGTTTGAAAGGAGATTATGCGAAGGATCAGAATTGATGCAGAAAATGCTGGATGACTTCCAAAGAGAGAGACTAGTAGCTGAGGCTAAAGCTGATAAATTAGTCAATGATCTCTGTAAGGCTGTTGAACTTAAACGCTCCCTCCAATCTCAAGATCAATTGAGGGAGGCTAATGTTCAAAAAGAGACTCTAGAACTTATGACCAACCCTGAACCATTCAATCATGAGGTTCCAGTTCTAGAAGATTCTCCCAGTTCAATATCTTCACAGAAACCCGAGAGCATAACAACTCTCGCTAGGGCTACTGTGGTGATATCACCTAACTATCCTCCTAGGCAAGTCTCAACCAGCATAGTCGTACATGAGGTGGAACCAACTGAGGGACCTGACTCAGAACCATCTATGCTTATTCAAGAACAAAAGGAGGAGGAAGTTTTGCCTATGGCAACAAACGACCATCTCCTTAATTGCGTTGAAGACACACCTCCAGAGGAACCTGTTCTGGAGGAGATAGAGCCCACTACCTACCCCCAAGATTTTAATGTTCAAGAGTCTGAGGAGGAATCTATAGACGAAGAAATAGCTAGCACAGAGGAACCAATAACGTCTATAGATAATCATGCTTCATCAGAAGACTTAGACCAAACTTTCTTTGACTCCCTACTTGGCGGGTGTGACTTTGTCTGCCCGAAGGATAGTTGGAGCCAAAAGAGTTGGGATGAACTTCTGGTAAGTGACACTGAAGACTCATCCATGGGGGAAAGCATGGTCGTAATCATCAAGCCACAAATGGATAGTCAGCCAATTGAAGATAAGGAAGGCATCAATTTCGCAATCAAGGCTAATGATGTGGATCAACTGAGGAGACTTCCGCCCCACCCACTTATACAAAGTCTCCTGCATATACACTGTTGCCACCAAGCCGCAAGGATGAGTCAAGGATCCTGGACCTTGACCGAGCAAAAATTCAAACAAGGTGGTATCAGATGAGAGTCAGAAGGGCCAAACTTTATGACTCACGGATCGGAAAGTCGCAGAAAAAGTGGGTGAGCGTCAAGCTACGGACGTTAAAGAAGCGCTTAACGGGAGGCAACCCGTCATTCAATTAACTAAAATATTTAAATAATTTATTTTATTTTTACTTGCCGCACCAGTTGGGGGGCAAGGTTTTACTCGTTGTTTGTTTTTCTATTCTACAGATGGATGTTGCTTGGATGATTCCGCATGGAAACCGCCGCACATTACAGAACCTGGAAGAGCTCCCCTTGCACTCAGAGGAAGCAAAGAAGAAGTTTCTCACTTGGGGAAACACGAAGATGCTCCAGCCTCCCATGGTGCTAGACCCTGCCTATCTGGATGAACTAGGGCACTGGCAGGACATTGATGAGTTGCTGTACGACCCGAAATGGAGAATCCTGCTGTTCTTGCACGCACCAGCCAGCTTGGAAGCCACCATCGAGTTTTTTTGCTCCCTCCGCTTCTTTAATGACGGAGAAGAGGCAAAATCGGCAACCGAAGTCACCTCCACCACAAAGGTCACATTCACTCTGATGGGTTGACTGCTGACCTAACTGTGGCGGACTTGGGGTGGTTGATTGGTCTTTACACACTCGATGAAACAAGGAGCCTGGCTTTCGCCGATCTGCTCGACCAGTTAGATCCAGAATTCGATGTTAAGAAGTTCTGGCAAGCTCACGGGCATGGTTGATTTCACAGTGGAGTAAGCTTAGCTAGAAATTGGGCACGACCGTCTTGGAGGATTTTGCAACACGCATTGGCTCACAACTATTTCGGCCGCTCTCAAGAACCTGACGTGGTGTTTGAGTCCGATATGTTGTTCTTTTGGAGTCTGGAAGCACGTGTACCAGTCATTTTAGCAACCTTTGTGGCTCGATTCTTGTTTGCTCAGTCTACTTGCAAACACCAGTTTGTTTTGTGTGGGCCAATGGTTACGCTCCTGGCCCGTGGATTGCGTATGTCAGTTCCCGATGTTCTCCCAGAAGCTGCAAGCATGTTCCGACCACCGACAGGGTATTTGGCCCAGATTGCCTACAATAAGGAAGACAAGGAGGCCCGTCCGAGACGACAGCATACAATTCCTATGACTCTTCGCGAGCTTTCGTAGGCTATGTTTGCATTCCAGGATTCTGTGGATTCTCGTTTGAGGAGCATGGAGACACTCCTTCTCACGCAGCAGTGGCAGGTGGAGGAAATACTCGACTAGATCCGGGAACAAGGAGCAAAGAAAACGAAGCATGAGGCAGGTCCTAAGCAAGGCCAACGTCAGGGATAGTGAGATCCCTAATTTCCCTAATTCAGAACATTATTTTTGGATATTTATATGATCTTATTTTGGAATTCTATTCTTTTCATGACTCGTAAAACCCTTTTGAGAATATTTTATGAATTATTTCATATTTACATGTTATGGTTATCTATTATTTCAATCTTCATCGTTGAATCTTGCAAGTATTGAGATAACTTAGTAATTGCATGTGAGCATTTCAACCATTAACTCCAATTCCAAAATACTTTTAGCCACAAGGGCATGGTTCCGTTTAAGTGTGAGGAGGTAAGAGTTCGTGGTTGAAATGATCTTTTTAGGAATTGTTTTGTCTATGTATTGTTAGGAAAAGATTTTATAAAATAGTCATCAATTTTAATTGTTTGATTAATTAATCTTTGGTTATCACCCGTAAAAATTGGAAATTTTTAACTCTTTGTCAAACTTTTATTTTTACTTTAACCTTTTGGGAATGTTTTCTAAAATGGTTTGGGATAAATTCACAATTTATTAAGAGTTTTTTTTAGATCAATTAATTTTTAAGTGCTTTATTGAAAATCTTTTTGCTGATGCTCTTATGAGTATTTGTTGTTTCTTAAAAAGAGTTATTTTCATAGTATAAGGGGTGATGTTTCAAAGCATACTTTGGTGAGACCGAGATTCTTGTTTTAGCCAAAAAGCAGTTGGTTCTAGGTTAACTGATGAGGCGTGGTGAGTATGCCGAAAAGCACGTGGTTCTATATTGCGTGATGAGGCCTTTTGAGTGTTAGAGTAAAAAAGCATGCGGTTCTATGTCGTGTGATGAGACTTTCTAGAGTGAATATCCAAAAAGCTCGTGGTTCCATGTCACGGGATGAGGTTATAATTTTTCTCGTGTCAACATGACAAAGTTATGCCAAAGAAAATTAAACCCTTACACTTTGACAAATACTTTTGCAAGAACATGTTTTCCAATTTAGTCATTAAAAAAATTATTTGATCTTTAAAGTACTCTTACAAATGTAGTTATCCCAAAGAAAGTTTGGAAAATTATGGTTGTTTAGGTTGGTGTAAAAATATTGGTTTGCCAAAATTCTTTTACATTTCCAACAATATGGGTGAGAATCTAAAGGTTCATTTCTTCTTAACAAAAAAGGTTGATGATTATCTTATTTCTTCTTTCCTTCATAATATGTAGCTTAAACCTTTCCTCTGCAATTATTAATTTGCCTTTATACTTGTAATTATTCAATTTGTTGCTTGGGGGCAAGCAACGTTTAAGTGTGAGGAATTTGATAAGTCCGTTTCGTTCTTATCACTTACATCATATTCTAAACGTTATTGCACGTAAATAGTATTTAATCATCTTATAAAATGTGATTTCAATGAATAAAACTCTCATTTTCGTTCTAAGAGTCATAAAATGGGATTCCACATGAAATTATCATAAATCATCCATTTTATGTTCAAATACTTGAGAAAAAGGGAATAACTCATCAAGGGATCAAGATTCGGGCTTGAACGAGCTTCCGGGAGGTCAAAAACATTGTTCGGGGCCAAAACGGAGTGAAATTGGGCCAAAATCACGAACCAGCCGCGAAGTCCAACAAGAGAAGGGCCTAAGGCGTCCAACTTGGACGCTTGGCCAAGTTGGGTGCTTGGGAGTTGGACGCTTTGGCTTAATTGCAGCCTAAGAATGACACGTGGCAAAATCTGGTTGGCCGGGACAGCTCAGGCATCTAGATCTGGACGCTTGGACTTGGACGCTTTGACTTGGACGCCTTGGCTCCGTTCCTATAAATACAGCGCGATCTCTCTCATTTTTATCATCCCATTCCATCCCAACTTCGGGATTTACACATCCCGTCTCCATTTTAGCTTGTATATTAGTTTTAGTAGCTAGTTTGAAGTATTTTCGGAGGTTTTGACTCCAGATCTGTTCTGTTCCGCTTTTACGGAGGTTGTAAGTTTTCTTTATTTAATAAAATGCTATTTTAATTTATTTTTGCATAGTATGAGTTGGGGTCTGGATCTCTGGGTCCGGACTAGTTTGGTTGTTTATTTTTTGATGTTAAATTAATGTTGGAATGGTTAATCTATTGTTCTTGCCTTATTTAGTTAATTATTCTAGAAAGATTTAATTAGCTATTTATTGAGAAGATATTGTATGCCAAAATGGCTATGATATTCAAGTGCAACAGATTAAGTACAAATCTAGAAATGGATGAGTAGTAATAGAAATATTATTATTCCAATTGTTAATTTAATATGATAAAATAGATCCAGATGATGTCCTGACCCTAGGTCCAGATCTACACTTATACTATGTAGACTTGATTTATTATTTTTACTCTGCTCCCTTTTTATTCGTTTCGAGAAGACTTTCATAAACCAATCCTAATCTTCGCCTAATTAGAGTAATTAAACTAATTCCCTTCGTCCACTTCTCGAGAGATACGACACTCGGAGAGAAAACTAACCCTTTGTTGGGAAGGTTTACTACTCGAAAAACTACTACTGTCACCTGGACCAGAAAAGGGATGCCGAAAGGGGGAGGTGCGGAGAGAGCCCATTGTCCTCCAGATGCATCCTTCAAAAGAAAAAGAAAACGAAAGGGTACCAACAGGTGGGATTGAAAACCATCCCCCGTGGACACCCTCCAGTCACTCCCATGAAGGTGGACAAGGAGAACGATGGGGCATGAAAGGAGGATTTACGGCTTCATTCCGCCTACGCCGAAGGGGGAGGCGGATCCCGGAAGGTTCCGTCCTTTTCCCTCCACGTAGATGGACGCCTATTTCCCCCCATGTCATAATCCCCCCACTCCTCAGGGCTCTGTCCATATGACTGCTGAGGAGAGGGAGAACCTTGGGAGGAAGGCCTTGCACCGGAGACCAACCGGGTAGCTTCTGAATAGGGATTGCGTCTCTTCTGGGAACGGGATGTACCAGGACGGCCAGAGGAAGCTTCCGTCCTGAGACCGTCAGGGAGCACGCCGGAATCCAGGAGAGTACCCCCTGATATTTGCTGGGGGAGATGAGGATGGTTCTCCCCCCGGGCAGGGGAGAAGTCACCGATTGTTCGGAAGCGGAGGAAGGTCCAGAAGGGAATTCAGGTGTTGGGGCTCCAAGTGAGGGAAGTGCCAAGGAGGAGGAATCAGAAGAAGAATTAGAGATAGTCAGATCAATAAAGACAACTCTGTTGGCATTATTAGCCATGTTGAGAAGTGGTTGTGATAATGAAAGTGTTCTGCCTAGTTCCTTAAATAGGCGAATGATGCTAGGAAGGAGTGCAAAGGACGCGGAGTCAAAGCGCTTATCCGATTGGGAAACAGTTGCGGATTCCCGAGGAAAGCTAGGGTTGCGCCATTCATCATGGGCTTAAGTGAATTGGGCCCGGCGTAATTAAGGTGGGCCAGTCACTTAGCGCGTCAGAGTAAGCAAATTTGAGCAAATACCGATGTGGGTTAAGCCCAAGTCTTAAAGCAGGTAAAAATTTTGCTAAGTCCCAAAGCAAGATAAAAATCCCAAAAGGAGAACAGTTAGCCCAAAGAACGGAGTCTACTGGGATGTAAGTACAAGCGGGATATTGACAAAGGACAAAATGCTACAAGCATTACCAAGTTGATGCAATTGAATTGTTACAAAGTAAAAATACAATGACTGTTGGGGAGGAAGAAAATCAAGACCCCAGATTGGCACGAGAGTCTGGGGGAGGAAGGGGAAGAGGCAAGCCGTAGTATGTGATGAAATCATCTAAGGACCGGTGAGCCGGGAGACCACTCCGGATCGCCTCGTAAATGCAGAGCTGCATGTCAAATTTCCCCTCTTCGTAGAGGGCCTCGGCACGGGCGGTCAGGGCAGCCACCTCTTCTTGATGGGAAGCACCAGTCTTCTCCAGTTCTCCCACCTTCAACCGGAGCTCTTTGACAATCTTTCTCTCATTCTCCAGCTTCTGGAGGGCATCCCGTTTCAACCCCATGTGTTTCAACATGAGCTCACTAAAGTGGGCTCCCTCTTGCTTGGCCCCATGAAGTGAATTCTCCAACTCGAAGATCTGGGATTCCCTTTCAACCAGTTCGGCTTTTAGGCTCCCCTCTTTGCCTTCCAGAGCAGAGACTTTCGACTCAAGACAGGAGATTTGCTCCCGGAGTTTGTCAAACTGTGCCTCCAGTAGACCTGTGCGAATAAGGATCCGGGCCGGATCTGGGCCGGGCTTGATACAAATTATTAGCCCATTTGCATGGGCGGGCTTGGCCTGGCCCGGATTTGATGGGCTAAACTCTTTACCCATACCCGCCCATTTTAGCGGGCCGAACTGCCCACCGGGCCGCTCGGCCCGGATAAAACATCAAGAAAATCTTTTTTACACAAAACAATCAAAAAGAAAATATTGAACTCATTTTCAAATGTTTAAAATAAAATTACCACTCGCCACATTTACATAGAAAACGTAATAGAAATATTGTTACATAATTAATAAACTCATCATACAGATTCATTAAAAGACTATTGATTTTTGTTTAAGAGGGGTGAGTGATATAAACTATTATACATAAATTAAAGAAAATTTTAAAATTTATATTATCTAGATAATTAATAATAAAGTAAATGTATATAATGAATATGGGTGGGCCTGTTGGCCCGGATGGGCTAAAAGTAACTTCCAGATCCGCCCAAATACAATTCAGGCTTGGGCCGGCCCGCCCATGTGGGTATTAAAGATTGTTCATATCCGCCCATTTCAAAGGGCGGGCTGGGCGGGCCGGACGGGCCGACCCTTGTTTGCACAGATCTAGCCTCCAGGTCCTGGGTACTTCCTTGGTAGGTGGCAATTTGCTCTTGCAGAGACTTGACCCTGGACCTTTCGGCCAGCAGTTCCGCTGAGGCACCTGCTTTGAGCCTAGCATTCTCCTACCGTAGGGCTTGGACTTGTTGCTCGAGGGAACCAACCTTCTGTTGTAGAGCTCTAGCGGCCAACTCATTGTCCTTTAGGACCACCATGGCCCGATAATTACCCCATGCTCCACCCAGGTACTCCTCAGACAGAGTGAGGAGTGATTGTTGGGCCTGGAAGGGTGGGAGGAAAGTCAAGAAAGGGATAATTTAAGAGAAGAAAGGAGACTTTCGAAAGAAAAAAGTATCTGCTCCATGGAGTGTAAGACATCAAGGGCAAGCAAGTCAGGGCGTTCCTGTGGAATTATGGGATCCTGCATCAATCCCCTCATCTTTTCCAGATTGACCTGAATGGTGGAGTGGGAGGCCTTAAGGGAGTTCAGACAACGAGAAAAATCTATCCAACCCTCCCGTAAGACAGGATAAGTTTCCGGTGTGAATCTGCACCGGATGGGGAGATTGAAGGTCGAGGGCGCTGCAGCGGAACGCTGCTCCTCCGGTTTCTTCTGTCCCCCAACCTCTTTCTCCATCCCTGGAGAAGCGGCAGATGTTGACGGGGAGGCGTTTTCCACCACAGGCTAAGGTCGCCCTGCTGGTCTTTGGAGTGACGCTTGGTCTGGAGATTTATCCGCCTCATGGTCCAAGCTGTGTGGGTGGGGTAACTCCAGCTCTCCAGATGCGACAGCGGTAGCGGTGGTTTGAGTGCCAGAAGAAGCAGTCAGGGGGCTGGGTGAAGCAGGGGTACCATCACCCTTACTCTTCTTGGGAAGGAAGTCGTCATCAGTTACCCCTTCCCAAGGCCGTTTTTGGGACGGCGTGGGCTTCCTTAGCCTAGGAATGGAAGAAATGGGAACAACATCCAGGGCGGCAGAGGGTGTGCAGATTACCAAGGCAGTATCGCCACATTGAGCCTGGATCCCAGAGGGATCTTTAACTGGATGCGATTCTACAGAGGGAGAAGCCTTTGACCTCTCGGGGGAGAATGTCCCTTCAAACGGGATAGGGTCGGGGCCCAGAGGATAGTAGAAATCTGCCTTCTTGTACAATTTGGGGTCCTGAAGGGAATGATGTGAAATCAGTCCCCCCCTCCTCTCTCAGGGCGTTGTACACTCCCTCCGCTTCGGGTGCAGCTGGGAACGGAGTCCGGGTGGTGGTCCCAAAGTGGTGAGATACAAAGTCTAGAGGGGGGGTGAATAGACTTTGTTACAGATTTAAAATCTTTTTCGTTTCTTTTGAAAACGTGAAAATAAGTGTTAATCTAGAGTTCTTGTGAGCTTTAGATTGTGTGCGGAATTTGGTGGGTAGAGTGAGCAGTAATCAATATGGATGGGTTAGTTTTCACAGTTAATGTAAATGCAAGTAAGAGTAAAGATAAAAGAGAGAGACACGCAAACTTTAACGAGGTTCGAAGGTGGGGTAATCCTTCTACGTCCTCAAAATCCACTATGTAGTTGGTTGTTGAATAATGAACCAACAATTACACTTGTGTGAATTTCTGCACGGTATATCTTCGCAAGACCAATGTTTCTACTGCACTCGTGCTGACTTTGTTGTTCCTTCGAAGGTCACGCTTCTTCAACAACTGCAAGATCCGAACAATAGGACTTGCAAGATCAACTTGTAAGAAAGTTGACCAACCCCCTTTTTAATCAAGAAGTTTGATCAAAAAGTTGTATCCTTCAACGTGGTGTGGTACTTGAGGCAAGGAAACCTTCAAGTGTTTACACTATAGCTCTTTGGAAGGAGAGGAGGTTTGCTTCTGGATAAGGAGCTTAGAAAATCTCTCTTTATCAAGCTTTTTGGGCAAACTGTGAATGGGATAGCTTTTCTGTTGAGATTGCTTCGTTCAAAAATTCATTCATGCAATCGTACTTCCTCCAGTCTTCCAAGGATGCTATTTATAGCTGGATTGGATAATCTATCCGTTGAATCATAATAGACTATCCGTTGCATTTGCTGGCTTCAATTTTTGAATGAAGATTGTGATTTGAAGATTCTTTGTTGAAGTAGGTGTTTGGACGTACTCAATTGTTGAGAAGAGATTCCAATTTCCATAGAATCCGTCTTTTAGCTGTTGTTCAAGAATTCTGAACTGTAGCACTTTACTCTGTTTGTCTTCTAGTGCTTGTTTAGGAATTCTGGACAGGCTCTTCAATTTAGAGGGCCAGACTTTGTCTTCGAGTCATTTGTTCTTGAATCAGCATAATTATCTTCAATCTAGCCGTTGAAAATCAAGACATTGATTTTTCCTTACCAATGGGTAGAATTTCTTCATTCAAGACTTAGATAATTTTTCTAAGTCTTTTCTCACTTGTCCGCTTTCTGAGAATTCTGGTCTTCAGTGAGTCTTCCGATTCTTAGCTGACAAATCCGGATGAGTCATTTTCAGACTTCCGGGTGAGAAAGAGATCCGCGCTAGTCTTCCGATTTGAATGACTTAGCCTTCAGCGGGTTGTAGCGAGACATCCGGTTCTTATGTAGTCTTCCGGATCTGAGGATTTTCATCTTGATTGAGAAATCCTTACTTGTCTCTGACATTTCCGAACTAGATATCCAATTTCCATATCACTAAATTTGATTAAGTCTTCAGGCATCAAAACGCTTAAAGAAATATCACAGCTTTTATTGGAAATCTCAAGAGCTCGGTTTTGACAATATTTCTAAAAAGAAAAATTACATTGAATAATGGGGGAGACCTAAAGTCCCTATTACATTCTAAATACATCACATCAAAATCTATAATATTTTTCCCAACAATTTCCCCCTTTTTGATGATGACAAACAAGTGTTTAAGAGTTCCGGTCGCTGTACTGAGAACTAATTTTATAACTTTCTTTTAGTTTCTCATAATATACAGCTTATTAACAAAAAATCTTAAACAGATACAATTCAAATTACAATAATTCCTAAACCAAGTCTTGTCTTGAGATTTTGTGATATCTTCCACCATTGACCGTTTTCAGCTTCAGCAGATTCTGCTTGGCGGAGCGGTTGGCGTTGCGTTTGATAGATCTTTATTATCCAAAGTGGATAACTAAGATCTGGGAAGCAACACATCTCTCAAAAAAAAATGAAAGAAGAAAAAAAAATGACAAGAAAGAGAGGTTTTGAAAAAAAAGAATTGATTGTGAAGAAAAAAAATAAGGTTTTTTTTTAAAGATAAAGGCAAAAATAAAAAAAAATTTTAAAAGAGATTTTGAAAAAGAATAAAAAATTTTAAAGAAAATGCTTGGGAGACGGGAGCAGAGACACCACCAAAAAAAACTTGTAAGAAAATTAGGGGGACTGCTCAAAAAAAAAATTTAGAAAAAGTAAAGAAAGGAAAGGGGAGGGGAAAGAGATCAAGGTAAAAATAAAAAGAAAATAAATAGAGAGAGTGTTGTTCCAGAGAAAGTGTATGGTATAATCCTGAAAAATACAAGAATTACACCATAAACTTTCTCTACTGCCGAGAATTGCACCATAAACTTTGAATTACTTTCCTTCTCACTAGGCTTTTCTCTAAATATGAAAATCTTCAAAATCTATAAATACATCATCATCAAAATCTATAATATTTTTCCCAACACCGGGGGAGTGAACCACGGCATAACAGTCCTGGAAGATCTATAGGGCTATGGACCGGGAACTCAATGATGAAGTAGCGATGGGCCCATCTGTCAAATTTGGCCTCAACCTTCTCAAAAACTGGGAACTTGGGGTGAGGAAACACACTGAAGAAAGGGAAAACTCCACCGATGCTGAAAAGGGCGAGAAATCCGTCCAGACTTGGGTTCCTATCTAGGGCACAGTACCGCAAGATGTAGGATGCGACATATTTGTGCGCGTTCGCAGTCAGGGGGGGAACTCGAAGGTCTGGCAGATGTTGCGGACCAAACCATGGAGGGAAACCTGAACCCATTCCCCACCGAATGATAATGCATGACCATGTATTTCCGGGGGTCCGGATTATAAGTTAGACTGATCCCCGCGACACCATCAGGATGGTGAATCCGGAAGCCTTTGCCCAGGAATTCTGCCATTTCTTGAAGTTCATCCTCTTTAATGATAGAGGATTCATGGACCCAAGTTGCAAGGTCAGTGGAGGGGGGCCATTTCGGAGAGAGAAGCGAGAATTTGGGGGCATATGCAGTCGGAATTTGGGTCGGGTCAAGATTCGGCAATGAAAAAGGAAGAAGATGAGACCAGAAGGGGTTATATGCGTTTTAAGGAGAGACCCAAGGCACTCGAGTGCGACGTTTCTAATCCGACACGAAATCCGAAGGGAGCTCATCATTAGTTTTCTAGCGACACGTCGCCAGAAAACTAGGGGGCTTGTGATGGATATTGGGTGTGATGGACCCGACTCTAGGCCCGATAAAGGCCCACAATCGTGCAAGGTAAGTGAGTCCAGATGCGTGTAACGGATCGGGCCCACCAGGGGGCATGTGGATAACGAGGCGGACGGCCCAATCATGGACTGGATTGAGACGATCCAGTCCGAGAAGGGAAAAGGACGCGTGGCCCACACCCCAAGTCGTGGAGGGAATGGAAAGAGATC